ATAAATACTGACTATAAACAACAAAAGCAAACATGAAAATCTAACTGCCAACTTTTATCTTAATATGTGTTAAAATACATGTATCTTCTGGAAAAAGTAGACTACAAAAAAATAAAAATCAATATTCTTTCTGACTGTTCAATACCATAAAAGATTGTTGTTATTAAACAGATTACCTTTATAAATATATTGGAAATTTTCTTACATTCAAATACAAGAAACTTCAACACAAAGAAAATTTTCTGTACACTAGACTTACAAAATTAAGTAATATCAGCATATTTTCAGCATCAAAATATTGACTTGTAATTTAAGATCATATGTATTATTAAAATATTTCAATACTGATCAGTAATTATCAACCTAAATAGGAGAAAATGTGCCAAGCAAAAGAAGAAGGTGCAAAAGGCAAAAGTTGACATATAGATTTCCATTTAGTAAATGAAGGGTATTCTAGCCAGAAAAAAAAATGTTAGTAAAAACATTGTTAGTTTCTCCGACCAGTGCTACTCACATGGATAATATAAGTAAAGAAATCTTCTGAGATTTGGCTTTTTACTATCAGCATGAGTAGTGTGGTTGTGGTGGTATTGAGTATGTTTTTGAGATAGTGGGTTATCTCCCCTTGGTCTCTGACATGAGTTTTAGTTCCTGATAGTGAGTTATCTCCCCCTTGGTCTCTGACATGAGTTATTGATCCTGAGTAGCTGCCATTGAGTTTGTAACTGAGTAGTAGTTAATCATGTGGGCGAGTTCATACTCCTTGGAGCAAAGCTAAATGTTGATAGACCAGTTATAACACACATGTCACAATATAGTACTAATAATGTCTTATGTGTAAACAAAATTTTTATTTCAGAATCGTATGGGATTTGCAATTTCTAATACATTAATGATCTTACAATAAACCAGATTGAATTTAATAATACTTTATAATCAAACAATTTATGTATATAAATGATTCACGCATATTTGCTATTCACTGAATTGATGAATAATTTTCAAATACAGGGAAAACTTCAAAATATGTGCATTAAGATTAACTCCATTTTTACAGCAAAAAATTTCAATTCAACATCACCCTAAAATACACATATTTTCTTTGTCTATCAAATATTTCATATTTTTTATTGAACAATTAAAAAAAAAAAATTGTCATATAAAAAAGGACACCTTTTAAATAAGTAAATCTGACAAAAGAAAAATAATCTAAATAATTAATTTATAAAAATTTTACATCAACAATAGAATAGCAAACCGTTTTAACATATGGCTCTAATTATGTATCTCTTAAACAAGTTATAAAATGTAGTGACTTTTTTCAAAGAATATTTTAAACAGATGATACCTACCCTTGATTGTCCATACTTTCATCTGGTTTCATATCACTGAAAAAAAAGTTTTACATGTCAATAAAAAACATCATAGATACCTGATAAAACTACCAATCATTGAATTGGGGAATCCAAAGTTCAGACTGAATCATAAGTGTTATATTTGTACACTTTAGTATGTATTTTTAACAGCTGAAAGTATCTAAGGCAAACAAATATTTTGTTCTAATATGAAGTTAAAAAAATTTCAGACTTTAGGTCAATGGATGTAGTACTATTTCTATATTACTTTTATTTTTGTGTTTCAAAATTTCACCACAGGAAACCATTCCAAGCACAGGGGTCAATGTGAGCTAGTTTTGATTCGCATGCTTCACAGATTTTGATTGAATTTACCTTGAAAGTCTTTGAAAAAAAGGTTATAAAAGTAACAACAAAATTTGATATAAAATTAACATTATCAATGATCCAAGTCAATGTGGTCATATGAACCATATCAGACAAACATGTAACCTTACAATCATTACATACACAAAATATAGGTTAACCTATTGCATATAGTATCTGAGAAACGGAACTAGATAAGAAAACTTAACTTTGACCAATGCACCATGAAAATGAGGTCAATGTCAATTAACACTGCCAGACAGACATGTTCACCTTGCAATCATCCAATACATCACATATAGTTAACCTATTGCTTATAATTTTCCAGAAATGGACTTAACAATGAAAACATAAAGCTGACTTTTGAACTATGAAAATGACATTAAGATTAGATGAGTCCTACCAGACAACATGTACACCTTACAATCATTTCATACACCAAATATAGTTGACTTACTGCTGATAGTATCTGAGATACAAAACTTTACCACAATCACTGATCCTTGATTGATTTGAAGTTAGGTGAACACTGTCTGACCGACATGTAGACCTTGCAAGGATCCCATATACCAAATATAGTTATCCTATACTCATAATAAGTGAGAAATTCACACAACAAAGAAACTATAGTTTTTTTAAACAGTTGCTTAACCATGAAAATGAGGTCATGGACAATGGACATATGACAGACATGAATTTCACATCATAATCCATCTGTATACAAGGTATGAAGCATCCAGGTCTTCTAGTCTGAATATAAAGCTTTGTACGAATAGTTTACTTGGTTGCCATTGGGCTATAATCCTTAGGCAGCAATACACAGTTAGGAAAAAAACTCAAAATTGACAATCATAATTTTTAACCCTCTTTCCCTTGCTTTCAAACAAATAAGGCTTAATGTTTGTGTCATGTATGTGCATATGTATGGAAACAGCATGATCCATAGATTTGATTTACAATAGTTAAAATGGTGAAATATAATCTCTTTGTGGTGTAACCATGGCAGCAATCTGCATTTATTTGATACAAAATATTGCAAAAGGGTGGTCACAAAAGTCCCCTAAATTTGGTCCAAAGTAGAATATCAATCCATTTGAGTGATACCTTTTCTGAAACCCTTGACATTTATCTATCAAGAGGTAACAAATAAAATCATATGCATTTCACCTCATTTTTCCATAAAATTGAATTGAAAAATTGGAGCATAAAATATTTGTTGGAAAACACTACATTAATTTCTGGACCTATAGGTGGTACAGATGTAAAAATGCAGACTGTCAAACAGAAAATGTCCTATAAAACATGCAAAAAATAAATGGGGAATGTGTCCATGGGACACCGAAGATGCCCCCGCTTGCATATCATATAAAATTATAAAGGGACATAACTGAAGAACAGTAAAAGTGACGCTAACCAAATTTGTTAATGATCTGCGTTTTGTAGTAATAAGTATTGTGTCAAAATTTCATAACATTTGGTTGAGGCAAACTTAAGTTAGAGAACGGAAACGAAAAATACAGCAATTTTTTCCATTTCTAAAGGGGTATTACTCTAGAACAGTAAAAGTGACACCACCAAAAATCAAACTTGATCTGTATTTTGTGGTAATAAGCATTGTGTATAAGTTTCATAACCTTTGGTTGAGGCAAATTTAAGTTAGAGAACGGAAACAAAAATTTAGCAATTTTTTTATTTGTAAAGGGGCATAACTCTAGGACGGTTAAAGTGACGCCATTAAAATTCAAACGTGATCAGTGTTTTGTGGTAATAAGCATTGTGTATAAGTTTCATAACATTTGGTTGAGGCAAACTTAAGTTAGAGAACTGAAACGAAAAATTCAGCAATTTTTCTTTTTGTAAAGGGGCATTACTCTAAAACAGTAAAAGTGACACCACCAAAAATCAAACTTGATCTGTATTTTGTGGTAATAAGCATTGTGTATAAGTTTCATAACATTTGGTTGAGTCAAACTAAAGTTAGAGAATGGAAACAAAAAATTCAGCAATTTTTCCATTTGTAAAGGGGCATAATTCTAGAACGGTTAAAGTGACGCCACCTAAATTCAAACTTGATCTGTGATTTGTGGTAATACGCATTGTGTACAAGTTTCATAACATTTGGTCGAGGCAAACTAAATTTAGAGAAGGGAAACCAACTTTGGGGCGTACGTACGGAACGTACAGACGGACAAGGGTAAAACTTAATACCCCCTCTGCTACGGCGGGTGCATAATTATCTTGATGTGCATATAAACCCACTTTGAAGGCTATATTATTCTTCAGGTATCTAAAAGTTAATTTGAATGAACAAAAACTTTCATATTTGAAAAATTCACCGTGACCAAACTCCTAGCTGTGTATTGCTACCTCATGTCTCCTTTGCGAAACAAAAACAAAACCAGTGACCACCTTATATTTTCATATCTTAAATGGAAATGCCAACAACAAAATTGTATAAATTCTAATCAAAATTCTGTGGACTGATATTCAAGAAGTGCAATTTGAAGTGAACAAATGTATATTTTTTCGCCACTGTTCACATACATTCCATACATTTATAGACTTTATGCACAAATTTTTAATTGAGTGTATCTCTTGAATTTTAAATGCTGCACATATAATTTTTTCCGTCTTAAAGGCAATAATTCCAATAAACAGTCAGTTGAAGGTTACAGTACTCAAGCGACTTACATCTCGCCTTAATCATAATACCAGTCTATTTATAATAGTATTCAAGATAAAGGGGGAAGCACTTAATTTGGTTATTAATCTTCATATAAAGGCAATAACTCCTATAAAGAGTCAATTTATGTTTTTTTTTTAGATCTTATATTGGGGATCATATCGGCTGAATAAATTTCCGTCTATCAAATAGTTTTCAAGATATATTACCCATATGTTGTTTTTTTGTCAATACAAGGGACAAATCTAAAATCAGATACCTTAAGAATGATTGACACAAGTGATTTCAGAGCAGAAGATTTTTTTTTTTAAGTTTAAAGTCATAAGATGGGGACAACAGATTTGACTAGCTCACACTGGCCCATTAAGCCATGTAACCTGATGAGACAAAAAGACAGTCCATGAAACACTACACAGAAAACCAAACATTGAGCAACATGAACCCCACCAGGGGTGAACTACAGTGATCAGAAAGAGTAAGCAGTTCCTGCTCCATAAGCTGCTCCATAACAAGTAAAAATCTGGTGATATGAGTGATTCCTAATTAGAAATCAAAATTTTAAAGGGATTGGATTGCTGATTTACAAACCAAATTACCTTGCAGCAGACTGGTCCATTTTATCAGATTTGGTGGGTGATGGTGAACGATCTTTAGAAGATGTTGAGACATTGTTGTGCTCTGGTGATTTACTCTGCCTTTCTGGTGATTTACTCTGCATTTCTGGTGATTTACTCTGTGTTTCTGGCGATTTACTTCTTCTTTCTTGTGATTTACTTCTGTCTGGTGATTTACTTCTTTTGTCTGGAGATCTACTTCTTCTGTCGGGTGATTTACTCTTTCTTTCTAATGATTCATTGTTTCTATCTTGTGATTTCGTTTTCTTGTCTTGTGATTTACTCTTCTTATCTGGTGATTTGGATGCATGCTTTGATCTTGATCTGCTACGCCTTGAGGATTTCCTTTTTGGAGATTTACTTCTGGATCGGGAGCGGGATTTTGATTTACGTCTGAAAATAATTTGAAATAGATAATGCAATGTATACTTAAAAATTGTTGATAGATATCTCTTTACAGCTCTTTTCATAATGCTAGCAAGACAGAGGTTTGTTTGACTTGCTTGCTTTGTTTGTATAAATGTTTGCTCAAGCATTGTAATTAAGATTGACATCTACAAGATCTACCAACAATAAAAGTAGGTGGAGTTAAACCTGTGTATATTTAATTTTGATTATTTGATAATGTCCAATCAAATTCAAATATAATGTATACAAGTTTAAATCCGCCTTTTTATGTTGTTTTCAGATGTCAATCTTAATTACAATGCTTGAGCAAACATTGATACAAACGAAGCATGCAAGCCAAACAAACCTTTGTCTTGCTAGCATTATGAAAAGAGCTGTAAAGTATATTACAGAAAGCATAATTATTCTTCATACTGATGTACTGTCTGTCACAAAAAAGTAACCAAAACATGTAACTAGATATCAAGTTTCGATAAAGTCCAAGCATTATGATTTTTATTTACACTTACTGCAAGTTTGACACTGGAAATCAATCTAGTTTTTGGTCCTAAACCTCTTAAATTTAATAGCCGTTATATAAAATTAATCTTCAAATAAAAGTTTTTTCAATTTGTTGAAGTAATATGGTGTCATTTACCCTTTTTTTCTTTTCATTTTTCAGGTATAAGCATATAATATTGATGAAGTCTGATGCATAACCGTATCATGTAAGAATAAAATCTCCTATGATAGCCAAAAATATATAATAAGAATCTTGATATCCAATAAGTTCATTAACATTTCTTTCCTTTGTTTACACTTTGATAAAATCTGTTGCCAGAACTACTTTCGTAACCTATGTAAACACTGTGTTGATTCATTTCATTGTAACATATTTATGAATGGGATGCTGGTGTACCCAAAAATGTGAAAATTTATGAAAACAAGAATCTGTGTCCATAGGACACCATGCATTGCTCACACAATGGTTATATGTTCAGTGAACCATGAAAGCTAATTTGGCACATAATTTAAATAGTTCACATAATAATGAAAATGTGTTCTAATTTTCAAGTGGATTTGACTACAATTTCATAATACATTATCTTAACCAAAAACTGTAACCTGATATGGGAAGGAGGGACAGACAGATGAACAGATGAATGCACAGACCAACAATCATAACTATCATTTGCTTTGCTTGAAAATTATAAGGATCAAACACATTTTTTCTAAAGGTTACTAAAGTGTAAACTGGGCAAATGCACTCACAAACATCCAGACAATTTTCTAGTTTGTGAGTGCATTGGCCTAGTTTGCACTTCAATTACCTCTAGAAAAAGTGAGTCTAATCCCATAATATATACCCTTTTGCTTGCAGCCGTATCTTATACCATAAACAGTAAGTGTATAAACAAAGAGAGAGATACATAAAAATATTCTTCTTTGAAGCAATATTTCTAAATTCTACCGCCTTTACAAAAAACATATGTATATAAAAAAACATAAACACTCCAGAGAACTGTACACATTTTTGCAGTATCTGTTCTTAAAGAAACTGTGACCAAAATAATTAAGAAAATAACAGAACAGAATTTTAGATCTGATGTAAGTTGTCAATTGACTTTTTAATGGCTTTGACAGTAAAATACAATAAAAAAATACAATAATGTGTCCATAGTACACGGATGCCCAAATCGCACTATCATTTTCTATGTTCAGTGGACATGAAATTGGGGTCAAAACTCTAATTTGGCATTAAAATTAGAAAGATCATATCATAGGGAACATGTGTACTAAGTTTCAAGTTGATTGGACTTCAACTTCATCAAAAACTACCTTGACCAAAAACTTTAACCTGAAGCGGGACAGACCGACGGACAGACGAACGGATGAACGGACAGACGCACAGACCGAAAAACATAATGCCTCTAAGTGGGGCATAAAAATAGTGGCAAACCTATAATTGAGTCAGTTTAAGCCAAGTTTCAGGAAGAGTCCAGCAAAATTGACCTTAATAAATTCATGGTCATGGTCATGAGCAAAATAATCTTTGCAGCATTGAATCACCCTAAGGTTTATTTCAGTATTTTCAAGCTTATTGTTAACTTACTCTGATTTACTGCTTCTTTCTTTTGATCTTTTTCTATCCCTTGACCTAGATCTGGAAGATGACCTAAAACATGTAATATCACTTCAATATATTAGTTCATCCTAAAAGGACAAATAAACATGTTCTAGGTTGCACTTTGTAAATACAGCTGTTTCTCAAACCACGCCTCTTTTGGGGAGATATTTAATATTCATAGGTATGTTAATTTGTTAACATACTGGTTCCCATTGATGATCTCTGTGTTTCATCTCATAGAGACATCACTTGGGAATGTAACCAGTATAGAAAAACATGGTAGCGGCTAAATTTTAATTCTTAGGAGGTCCAAAAATGGAGGTAAGGGTAGTATAGAATTTTAGTATAAGTTTAAACTCTTAGAAGTTCAGGGCATATAAATGTTGAAAATATGCCGCACAGCCCTATATTTTGACCTTTGAATAAAATAGTAGTGCATATAAACTTTCCGTTCAGGGATTTTATTTTTCACGAAACTTCATAGTAAAAGTGTCACAGTTTTAGCCGCAAAGGGAGTTCCTATGGGAAATTGCATTGTCTGTATTTACAGAATTGCAACCTATATAGGGTTAAAAAATAGAACATACAGAATTTCACAAAATCTGGTTTATCTCAGAGATTTTAAAGAATTTAACTCAAATATGAAGTTTTATAAATATTTCATGAAGATTGAGAAAATCCTGGGCCTTAACTATGATGACTCAGCATAAATTCACAGTTTACAGTATGCATGGTTTACTTAAAGCCCTGAATTCAAAATAAATTCATAATATATGCCTATTTGTAATTTAAATTGTTTAGAAGTGCTTATATTTACTCTTCGCAGTAATTGCAACTCATTGATCCTTCCTAAATATTTCTGCTGGGGTGTTTTTGTCCTGTCGATAACCCAAAAGTAAGCCGTAACGCCTAAATGTGCTTTTTTGTGACTGCGGCATAAAAAAGTACAAGCTAGAATTACAAAAAGACCTCAGTAAAACTTACAATAGTGTGTTCTATCCTAAATATGTAGTAAATATTCCACATTGCTAGAAACAGGGAAAAAAATTAGGAAATGTGAGGCCCCAGGGGCAAAACACAGAGAAAAATGCCTACCCCTGAGTCATAAAACAGATAATTTAACTTGTAAATGCTATGATTTTTTTATTTTAAAGGTCTTTTATAAAGTAAACAATAACTGTGCTAGGAAGTTATGCAAAAATCAGATGTAAGCAGTCATTTCAATCAAACTTTTAGTGAATTTATGCACCAGACTGATATCTTCATAAATACAACTTTTGCAAATATGGCTTTGTTTAAACACTTCTAGGACATATATTAACTAACTTATGTTAGATATATGGTTAGGGATGATACTGTTGTGACAAGAATTCTAAACTGACCATTTGAGGCAGAAATTGTGAACTTTCATTGACAAATAGGCATACAGTAAGATGTGGACTGGAGACATAGGCAGGATTGGATACTTTGTATAATCTTGAATGTTGGAATGCTTAACTACTAAACAATACATTTATAGTATTCTAAAATGCTTTCAATTTGTTATCAGAATAGTTTCAAACAGGTTTTAGACAGTTCATGTCAGAAAACATGCACATAGGGTAAGCTGGCAATAATTAGAGTCTTGTTTTCAAAATCTTTAAAAAATTGAAACAGGGGTAGGGGTATAAAATGTACTGTAAAAGGAGACTTAGAGTATATGCAGTGATTTCTTTAAGGCTATAATTCTGATAAATAAGTATTGTTGTGAGAAAAAGTGTTTTTAGAGAGTTTTCTATTTGAATAAATGTTTGTATAGGTTGCACTTTGTAAATACAGCTGTTTCTCAAACCACGCCTCTTTTGGGGAGATATTTAATATTCATAGGTATGTTAATTTGTTAACATACTGGTTCCCATTGATGATCTCTGTGTTTCATCTCATAGAGACATCACTTGGGAATGTAACCAGTATAGAAAAACATGGTAGCGGCTAAATTTTAATTCTTAGGAGGTCCAAAAATGGAGGTAAGGGTAGTATAGAATTTTAGTATAAGTTTAAACTCTTAGAAGTTCAGGGCATATAAATGTTGAAAATATGCCGCACAGCCCTATATTTTGACCTTTGAATAAAATAGTAGTGCATATAAACTTTCCGTTCTGGGATTTTATTTTTCACGAAACTTCATAGTAAAAGTGTCACAGTTTTAGCCGCAAAGGGAGTTCCTATGGGAAATTGCATTGTCTGTATTTACAGAATTGCAACCTCTATTAATAACTTAAGCATTGTGACAAAGGAAATGTGGAGGAACATGAATTAGAAAGTCATCTATTTGGTTAATATGTTCAATATTATAGATATTAATATCTATTTTAGGAACAAAATAACGAATAACTGTGAAAAATAATTTGAAAATATAAAAGAACATAAAAAAAAAAGCATTCTCAAAATAACTGGCATTTAAAAATGTTCCTGCTAATCAATTTTCACAAATTTAAAAATTAGACAGTGAATCAAGTTTCAGTCAAATTCAAATATCAATTAAAAGATGAATAGTTGACTGATGGATGTCCTGGTGGAGAGTTGTTTCATTGGCAATTATTCCACATCATCTTCTTTTCATATTGAAAACTGATATGAACGAATAAATTATGTTGATTCAGTTTGTCAGGATTTGATTCAATTATTAGTCTTTTTTATTTTCAAATTTTTTTGGGGTCACTAAATTTTCATGAGAGTCAAAATGTTGCCTGCAGCATTTAAATTCTAAGGGAAGTATGTCTTCAAAAAGTAAACATATTATAAATCACAATCATAGACTTATAAACCTAAAATTACCTAAATATCTACAAGCATTAGGGAAAAAAAAACATCTCTTGGTTTTGACAGGTTTATTGCAACACACTTTTGGAGTTTGATATTCTTTGTTGACAGGGTTTGGTTGACACAGTGTAAATTCCAATCACAAATAGGGAAATGCAACAAGACTTTGATTTAAGTTTGGATTAGAGTGATTTTCGGTTTTGTCAGGCTTTGGTACAAACAGTTTTTACTGTAATATTTCTAATCACTACTATTTAGATTGTCAATAGCTTCTTTCAGAAAATGTTACTTCAAGTTACCTCTTTCGTTTACTAGTACGGGTACTTGATTTTGATTTTCTTCTGTCTCTTGATGAACTTCTTGACCTGTAAATGATCCATCCAATTCTTATTATAAAATAACAAAGCTTATTCTGACAAGTACTAATCCTTTTGAAAAAAAGGAAAACAGAAAATAGAATGCACAAACACTTATGTATAGTGATAACTAGTGATGGGTATAAAGCATTTTTTTTTTACCTCTATTTATTTTGAAAAATAGCCATATCTTTTTGTTTTGGTTCAGGAAATGCCAAAACCACTTACCAGGTAAATTAAAATTAAAAACTTCATGTCTGTAAAATTATCAGTTTAAGTTTGGTGAAATTCTGTCATGTTGTTTTCATGGAATTGCTGATCAACAAAGTGATATAAGCAGAAATGGCTAAGTCCATATTTTGGTATAGGAAATGCCAAAAATCACTCAGATCAAAATTCATGTATCAGGGTAAAAAACTTCATATCCTACATGTAGAAGAATCTGCAAGTTTTGGTTGAATTCTGTTGAAGCGTTTTCTAGAAGTCACAGATAAACAAAGTGTGATGCCGATGACAAAATAACAGAAATAATCCCAAGGTGTGCTTCACTTTCAGATTATACAAAAATAATAATATAAAGCAAATCTAAAAGAGTCAACAATACTGAAGTTCATTTATGATCTGCAAAATTCCCTCTTTTCAGTTACATCTTAAAATCAACTGAAATCTGACAGGAAGGGAGATAACAAAGCAAACAACAATAATAACATCAAATTTTATAGTTTCAATTTTTGAAGAAAAAAAAAGTGTGTCAACAAAATCAAAACTGATATGTGATGATCATATATCAGTTTTAATCATATTGTGATCTCAAATATGTCATTACACTGCTACCTAAAACATTGTAAATATTGCTATGTACAAGATTTTTTCAGGCCTTTTTATTAATTTTATCCCTATGCTCTATCTTTAATAATGGCACCCATGTTAGTTGGATAACAAAAACACCAGATATAATTTTAAAACTATCTTAATTAAGGACAACACAAACACATATGATAGTACAATAAGATTCATGAGGTAAGGGTTGATTCTAGACTTAAATCAGGAATACATTAATTTTGTAATTAATAACAAAATCATATATTTGATAAGTACACATAAACTTTCTTGTTGTACCTCATAGCTCAGGAGCTCATTTCAAGTATTCACCACATAGAAATTTTTAGTAAAATCCATTCTCTCATTCTGTATATGGTCTATCATAATCAAAATAAAAATTCTGATAAAATGCACATTATAAATAGGTCACAAGATTTGCCAAATTTCATCAAACTCCTTGAAGTAATGAGGAAATTACAATGATGTGAACCAAGAAGGTTGTTCATTATTTATAAATTTAAATTTTGCTGTTGAACTAATATGAAAACAATATCACAGTTAGCTATCTATTCACAAGCACATTATCATGAGATCAGCAACCACAAAACATTACCTTTTATGTGACTTTGACCTTGATCTCCTATTGGATCTTTGTCTTGACCTTGATCTTGATCTGCTGAGTGATCTGGAATCTGGTCTGTAAATATATATATTCATTCATTGTCTTCCAGTAGTTGAGAAACAATGTTAAAACTGAACATCCAAATCTGAGATTTATTTACACCTTACAATCATTCCATACACCAAATATATATATATATAGCTGACCTATTGCTCAAAGTATTAGAAAAACAGACCAAAATACAAAATCTTTACATTGACCAATGAACCATGAAAATGAGTCAAGGTCAGATAATACCTGCCTGGTCAATGTTTGGTTGATTTATCCCTTGAATGTCTTACCTATACATTGGTCATTCCATTTGGTTGATTTATCCCTTAAATGTCTTACTTATACACTGGTCATTCCATTTGGTTGATTTATCCCTTGAATGTCTTACCTATACTCTGGTCATTCCATTTGGTTGATTTATCCCTTGAATGTCTTACCTATACACTGGTCATTCCATTTGGGTGATTTATTCCTTAAATGTCTTACCTATACACTGGTCATTCCATTTGGTTGATTTATCCCTTAAATGTCTTACCTATACACTGGTCATTCCATTTGGTTGATTTATCCCTTAAATGTCTTACCTATACACTGGTCATTCCATTTGGTTGATTTATCCCTTTAAAAATGTCTTACCTATACACTGGCCTTTTCCGTTTGGTTGATTTATCTCTGCGATGTTCGTCATATGGTACTGCATGTTCTACTCTAACTCTTCTCCCACATATAACTCTGAAACATCAATTCAAATTAATCACAAAGTCATATGTATTTCCAAATAATGGGTTGTGATGGAACTGTAAACCTTGAGATGGAGGTATGGGATGGACTTATCTAATGTCAAAGAAACAATGTTACATGTATTAGCTTTCTTCGTCTGGAGGTTTGATGGAAGATGTTTGTTCAAAGACAAGGTGATGAACTCATACCTTACAGCATAATGAAGACAGTCATATCATCTATTTAAGCAGTACCTTATCATATTTATATGCACCAAGCAACTGGCAAAGTTATTTCCTGTCCAACAAAAGACATTGTTAACAATACAAAATTAGTTGTATTGTATTGTGTATTGTGGTCACTTTTGGGGTTATTACTTTGTCTGTTACACGATTAACAGCATGCCCACTGTAACTTAGTAACAGGACAAGATTTTGGTTTCCATGAAATTTTCATAAGTAATATCAGATTGCATGAACCAAATTAAATATTTTCGAAGTAAAATGAAATATAATACTTCCATGGTCTAAGCAAGGGCTAATGAAACTTCAAAAACAATATTTCTGAAATATCAAAAAGAATACAGACCTAAGGTTGTACGATTGCCAATGATTGCGTACATTCACTTCATTTGAACTTGGGTAGATAGTTGTCTCATTGGCAATCATACCACATCTCCTTATTTTTATAATAATCACATAACATATATTATAAGATTTCATAATCCATACAGAACTGTGAAAGTATTTTCTGACATACAATGAGAATTTCCAACCTAATCACATTACATAAACACTTCACGTCAAAATGCCAGATTTTGATTGGATAATACAAGGGAGCTAATTTACTCTATCCCATGGCTCAGCGGGAGACAATTTTTTTAATGTCACCCTCTCGTGCAGACCAATCAAAAATCGATAATTTAAAGGACAATGAATTGAATTTACATCAATAAATTAAAAACAATGCTCATGTTCTTAGTTTTGGCCTCAGAAGAACTTTTTCCTAGACTGTCAAAATAAAAGGAAAGTGTCTTGCTTCCATTCTGTTGTTTTTCTAATAACTATTACGTTGTTATGTGCGTGACGTCATAGTTAAGTAGTTTCAATTTAGAATTTAAAAGTAAAAGACAATAATGATAGAACATTCAGTATAATAAATTAAATAACACATAGGTAAGAGGGTGATAGAGCTCCACCTCAGTTGACAATGTTTCCTCGGGGTAACAATCTGCTCTATCACCCTCTCAGCTATGTGTTATCTATATAATAGTATGCATTTTGAAAATTTGCAAGTAGGCAAGAAAAAAAAAATCTCATAAAATTTGCTTTTTGTAACTTTTATTTGCTGTCAAGCTAGTTTGTCATGAAGTTTTTCAATAGTCATCTTTGGCATAATTATACACTATTTGGTTTTCTTATCAAAAGAATGTACTTAGAATGAAGGATATCTACAATGTATATGTCTTTCTTATCAGTAGGTCCAGCCCAGCTGTAGAATGTTAAGATAACTCTACAGTGACAAACACCTTTCAGGTGACAACTTTCTCATGAACCATAAGACTTCCTTTATAAATCATGTAAAAAAAATTTAGTTTTGACAACATCAATATATCCATTCTAATTCTCAATGATTGATATATAAATAAATAGGACTACACAGATTTTATATTTTTTATAGACTACATTTTTTTATTTGAAGATTGAAATGTTTTTGTAGCAAAGTTAATTGCTTATGAAACATAAACTTTGTCTGGACTTCTCTAACTTTCATCTTTTACGAATTCAAAATAGTCGTCATTTCTGTTACATGTGTATATAAATCTTGAATTTCCATAAAACTGGAAATTTGCAAAACAGTTTTATTTAAAATCTAGTAAATGATATACAATGCAAGTAATGATTTTTACTAGGTAACACTACATATATTATAAATTGACTAAACGTCTCAGAAACTTTATGTCTTCATTAAAAAAATCCTATACTATTCATCAGATTATTTTTTATTGACAGAAACTAATGAAGTAAGAAAATCAATGAAATGAACATTTTTATAAACAATACAATAGACAGGACAAGATGTTTCTATATTCTACATTATAATGACAATGCTGATACCATACAAGCTGTTACTTCAATAAATCTTTTCTAATTCATATCCTTTTCACATCACTTATTAGTCATCTTTAATATTCTAAAACTCATCCTGTTAGGGTGGCTGGACGAGGGGGTCCTTGATATGTTGGGTTAAAGTATATTTTTTTTTGTATTTGTAGTACAAGTTTTGGTTATTTAATAAAGTAAATATACAAAAAATCACACTTTCAAGAATGAAAGAAAATTTCTGAGTTTTGTCTTTCCACTTGAAAAAATTAAACTAAAAATTGCAACATTGCCAAAAAAAAATAAAGAATTTGTTTAAAATCACTCTTTTCCCATTAAAGGTAACTAACTAAACAAACTGATATAGCCTTAGATATATACAACTTTTCTTTTAATATTGGTACATTTGAAAATATTGAACTTGAAAAGTTTGACTGACCAACTGCTGAAGATACTTTAAACAAACAAAAAAATATCACATTTCATATACTGATTCAATGATGATACTCTAAACATCTTAATTGTTAGGATTTCTAACTTTTTGTAGTTTTGTCATAGCAAGTTTTTTTTGCCGTGATTTCATCAGAGTTCTTATAAAGTGGTGGACTGAAGGTTTTGACCACCAAAATTTTGCAAAGCACCGACACAATTGTGGTATTTTGAAATAGAAATAATAGTGAGGACCAGTAAATTTTCTTCAAGGACCACCAGGGGAAAAAAGATTTCAAGAACTCTGTTTTATTCTAATAAAGCTTACATTCTGTTATTGCAGTTTTTTAGGGGGATTTTTTTTTTTGACAGTTTTGAATGTGCTGTAAAAATAACAACAATTTGTATTTTAACAGTACATCAACCTTACATGGAAATGTTACTTCTTGTAACAGCAGTCAGCACTAAAAACCATGTATAAATATCGCTGATAGGGAAGTAACCTTAACTGAATAACTTCAAGCAGAAACAGGTCACTGAAAGTAAATAATTAATCACAATAAATTCATGAACATACCCTGAAGAAAGCTTTTCTATATATTTCAATCAATTTCCCAGACCAGAATAAAGGTTATCAGATCTATAAATCAAATTTCTTAAAAACTTTGATGTTTACCTGTTTATTTTCTATTAGTGAAATGAACAAAGTAGACATTAAATATTTATATTTTGAAATAAACCATTAAAATGAAATGTATTTTTGTATTGATCATATAATCTACTTTCCCATTTACTTATACAAGGTATTAAAATAATATTTATCATTAGAAAGACTCAATTCTGTACTTATTATAGGACCTTTCTATTATATATTTACCTTCCATGGAGCCTATTTACACATTTTTCTGCATCATCTGAATATTTGTATACCATAAAAGCAAAACCTGGTGGATTTCTAAAAGAAAAAAAAATCACAATAGTCTACTTATTATAATATATTTTAATTTATATTATAACCACACTAAGCAGAATAAATTCTTATATGTTTGTTTTCTGCTACCTGACTCTCCAAACTGATAAATTTGAGATAAGAAATTTTAAGAAAGATTTAACATAAAGATGTTTTTATGCAGTTGCAACTCTGTGTCGTAAAACTTCATTTAAGAAAACCCAGCCAAGACAGCCATACAAAATGTACCACCCTAAAGCATTGAGAGTTTAAAAGACAATTTTTTTTTTATTTTCCTTGAAACTAAGTTATAAGACCAGTGAAGAATGAGCAAATTAAAATGTTTATTTTCATTCGATATTGGAGCTTATAAAAATAAAGGGATGTGTAGTATAAAGAGCCTTATTTCAACATCTTTTTCAGAAAACTATTGTTCATTCCAACCTCTGTATAGTTTGAAAAGTTGAGAACAGTTAAGCAGTATCTGCTAGAATGCCAAAATTATAGATTTATTAAGGCACAAACCATTTACATTCTACCAAGCAATGTTAATATACAAACATTTTATCAGGAAGTGAACTCGGTGATGAGGAAAACGAAAATATTTTTTAAAGTTGTCAAATCTTTCGATTTTAATGTTAACTTATATTTTGAAACTTTGTAATTAAACTTTATTTGGAGAACACTATCAAAAAATATATCATATTCACAGCTAAGACCACAATTCAAATGAGTTGACCAGACTGACTTCTGTGTTAAATTAACAAACAACAGATTAAACATGAAATGTAAATTGCAAATTATATTCTACATGTAGCATGTTTTTTAACGCTATGTTCCCAATGTTGTAATCATGTTAAGGGAGAGTCCGAGACGGATTTATATAAGTTTTTCTTGATTCCAAATCCCTGTATTTCTATTGTACATTTGTTATTTGTGTACTTTTGAAAAAATAAAATATTGTTTAAACTAAAGTTGTATACCCCTTCTTGGTATGTGACATTTACAAAAACATCAATGCACAGTGATTAAAAAAATCGTCTTTGAATAAGAAGTGAATGTCTGTCATATATATGAAAATCACCTTCATGTATATCTACATGGTACAACTCATAATAATAGCAGTCAATACTAAATATAAAATCAATCCTTAGCACAAAAGCTTAAAAATATGAAACTAAAATTCCATGTTCAGTGAGAATCATCAAAAATTTAAATATTGGTAATCAGGAAGTAGCTGCCAAGCTAATCTGAAAATAGCTTACACAGTACAGCTCATCATCATATAATTCCAGACTAAATGTCAAATCATTCCCTTTGTTGTCTCTTTGACACATTCCCCATTTCCATTCTCAATTTTACCTTATACAGAAGTCGAGAAATAGGTGTCGAGGAATCAATGGTCAGTGGGTTTTATAAGAATTAAAAGAATTTTCAAACTGAAAGTGACTGCCAGGCAAATGTGAAAATTGCTTTTATGGTACAACTCATCATTATAAATTCCCTGACCAAGTTTTGGACAGAAGAATGGATGAAAAGACAAACGAATAAATGGACAAGGCCAATGCAGTATACTACCAATTCGATAGTGGGGGTATAAAAAAATATTGATGTTGCAGTCTACAATATCTTGAATGCTTTTTCTAGAATCCCTTCGTCCTGAATATGAAATATTTGCCACTGGACGTTAAACAACCAACAATCAATCAATCTAGAATTCCTGGTGATACTGTTTATAATTTTTGTTATACTTTTGTGCACAGACTAGTGATTATCATGTAAATATTGTTCCTTAATATTCTACTTGTTTGTCTCCTAGACTATAGTGGTGGCAGATATGTGGATGGCTTTTATAATTAATAGGTCTTCTAAAAATTCCTTAAGGCCAGTCAGACATTTCTGTAACCCCATTTTTAAAACTTATTTTACTGAAGGCAATCACTAGGAGTAACAAGAATGTGTCCATAGTACACGGATGACCCACTCGCACTATCATTTTCTATGTTCAGTGGACCTTGAAATTGGGGTCAAAACTCTAATTTGGCATTAAAATTAGAAAGATCATATCATAGGGAACATGTGTACTAAGTTTCATGTTGAATGGACTTCAACTTCAACAAAAACTACCTTGACCAAAAACTTTAACCTGAAACAGGACAGACGGATGGACGGACGAACGAACGGACACACAGACCGAAAAACATAATGCCCCTAGGTGGGGCATAAAAAAAAACACAAGTTTAAGTAAAACATTATTGAACTTTGAAGTTCATTATTTGTTGAGAAATTTTTTCAAGATCATATTTTTCTGTACTGTTTGTGAGGTTGCATTACAAAATCTTCTTAGCACAATGGTAAATATTGATATTTTACAGCATAAGATGAATGCTCAAGGCCAAAATATTTAAAAATCCAAAACCTAACACAAACATTAAAGAGCTGATACAATTGGATAGGATCAAAAGTACATATATAGCTATGCATTCCTCTTTAAGTTTTACAACAGCAAGTTTCAATAAAACAATATCTGTACGTTATGCCGGTAACCAAAGTACTACTGGGTCGCTGATACCCTCTGGGACTTAACAGTCCCACAGCAAATAGATCCAAAGTCCAAATAGTTATGATTTCTGTATCAGTGGTAATAAAGTTCAATTTTTCGACACAAGGGTCTCTGGATTCAACACTTTTCTTGAATTTCAAATTTCAATTTATCCCTGAGCATACACAGTCAACAGGGGTTGTAATTATTTCATGTAATTAAGCCATTAGAGCTTTGAAATTGGCAACATGACTTTATCACAACAATGTTTGGTCACTATGAAGGTCAAAGTAGTGTAGAATACCCTTGAAATTAACTAAATGTAGTAATGTACCAACATCTTGTCAAACTGATAATTTTATAGAAATAATCTTTGCACATGTTAGTAAACTTGGCATGTGTAAGGAACATTATTCTGCTTGGGACAATATTCATCAATTTTAGTGCAATAACACGATAAAATAATATATTGTAATATTTTCCAATTCAAACATTATTAGTGCATGTAGTATTACATAAAGTATATAATAATCCTTTTTTAAACCTTTTTAACAACACTTTCAGACCTTTGGTATAGGTTTTTTAACCTTTGATACAGTAAACATGTTGATTTCCAATAACACATTTTTATTATCTGCTACTACATGCGGATTATGATCTGTTCAAATTTCTTTTATATATTTGACATAATAATCGCTTTATAGACAAAAAAAATATTTATAAACTTACACGTGATTTGGGTACATTGGTTTTAACTTTGATGCTCCAAGCATGGGCCAAAACTTACAGTCAGGGGAATACTTGTACAAGTAAATTTTATATACTGCTATGGGTAACTAATAGTCAAATCTTTTCTCTTCTTGAATTTTTTCTTGACAGCATTAAAGTGTTAATTGTCTGTCTGTAATAGTTGTCTGAATTACTATTCAGAAAATTACAATTTCATGGACAATGAAAATCTCATTTTTCTTTTACTTTCAGAATACTGCCTAATTACAAGCCTCCAGGGACAATTTTTGTTAAGGCTTTACTCCCTTATTTAACTTGTGACCAGTAGAGGTATTTGTAAAGTTTTTGAGATAAAAGTAGGAACTTTTCATAAAATATTGAAACCAAGAAAATATTTCTGATGTCGTTTGAAGAGGGTGGTGTATGATCCTGAATTCCTGGAAAAATACACTGAATCCTGCATTCCCAAATAATTAAGCATTCTTTCCAAGTTTCCATGGTTCTTGCGAAAAATTAATCATTAATTCTAGTCCAAATAATTATGACGTCTAGAAAGGCTATTTTAATTTTTTTCTGCGACGACTTACTCGTTTTAGACTTCATAATTATTTGGACTACATTAATTCCAGAGCTATGATAAGTTTTAATCCTGAATCCCCTTAAAAGGTCTGCCCAAATCCTAACATACTGAAAATGGTCCTTCCACCCCTCCTGTTTTCACCAACATGTAGTCCAATTTTTTTTCTAATTCTAATTCTAATTCTTTTTTTGCTGTTACACCTTCCTACCACATCATAAAAAGGTGTCACATCAAAAAGATTAAAATAGCTTGAAAATACGTCATAATTATTTAGACTAGTTTTGACTAAACATAACTTGAGAATGCAGGGGTTGTAAACAAATTACTTGTAAAGTATTTTTTGGAAAAGGCTAGCGTAAGGACAGACTGTTCAAACATTGAGAATAAAAGTATTTTGACAAATTAACTTTTTTTATTTTAATTATTACAAATTCATACAAGAAAATATTTCTTTCATCTTCAAGCATGTCAAGTATATCAAAAGTACTTGTATCAGTGGGACCCCATGCTGGATAGGCTAAGGATTTAGCTGAATTAATCTACATCAGCATTTATTGGAAAATAAATAAATTTCTGATCCAAAATACAAATAAATTTGTATAAGATAACTTACATAGAAAAATAAACTCATGGGTTCATTTCTATAAATATGGGTGGTAGGATTTATTGGCAAATAAATAAATTTCTGATCCAAAATACAAATAAATTTGTATATTAAGCATGTTAAGATAACTTACATAGAAAAATAAACTCATGGGTTCATTTCTATAAACATGTGTGGTGTTACAGTAGTCAGAGACATATAATACATTATTTCATTATATGTCCCCACAGTAGTGTTGCAGTGCTGCAATTTTGCAAAAATTAGCCAATGAAAAATAAACATGTATCATGTTGTTCCAATACTTTTACTGAAGCAGGAAGAAAAAACCGTAAATGTTTATTTAATTATTCAATCAAAAACTATCCTACCTAGGTTTTCTTGACTTCAATATTTAAAAAAGTCTTATCACCAGACAGAATAAAATGTGGCATTGGTCAATATACTCATTCTTGTTATACATGGCTTACCTTGCAACCCAAACATCCAAAATTGGTCCAAACTTTTCTAGCTCTCGTTCAAGTTCGTACTTCCCTACACGACTTCCAAGATCCCCAACAAATACCCTGTACCCTCCTCGGCTAGAATCAAAAATTGCCATTTTGTAGCTTTATCAGTTTGTATATCTATAATCTAGTAGCTTGTAAACCTGTGGGCCGGTGGGTCGTTTGTTCATTGATAACAGACTGGTACTTGCCTAAAACAGCCACATTAAGAGGATAATAAAGGTGATCACGCTTTGAACAGGGAACCCCATTATTGTTGAGCATGCTTATTTTGGTCTTCCGGGTGGATAAATCAGCCCCAAATTTGTTATTGTCTTTCTTCGGATAAATATTAAACCAAAGAAAGAAGCGTTACTTGCATTTTTGTATAAATTGCCAAAATAGACAGTAAATTGACAAAATCGATATAAGCCCAATATTACAAAAGTGTACACAAAAACATGACACTTTAGGTGCGCATCGAGGATTTTGAAAAAGGGGGGCCCTGGCAAGCCAACGTTCGGAGTAATACTTGTAAAAAGTATATGCATTTATCATATATGTGGCTCCAAATGGGGGCTGATCCCCTTAATCCGCCTCTGTACATTCTATTTCAGAAGTTCATTACTAAGACGTATTTGAAATCTGAGAAGAATATATATTACACTATGTCGGAATATATCAGTGTATACATATTAAAAATATTAAATGAAGTCTGTTATAAATCTTTAAAATATTAAGAAAAAATAGTATATATATTCAGTGTAGGTCCCCATATAAACTGAAATTCTGTAACTGTAAAGATTCATCAACTAATCGTTGTTTTAACCGGCTTGAACATGGCGCCCTGATCGAGACTGTAAAATGATATTTGATCATAAAACAAAACCGCCCTAATTCTTGTTAACATTGAATTTTTATTCCACGGACATTAACTTTGTTCCATATATATATACAAATCTGGATGACCTAATTTCTACTAGTGATATTGGAATTATAATTTGTACTGGATTTTAATTAGTATCCATCAGAATTCCAATACCTACTAGTACTAGTATATATATTGGAATTCCGATTTGTACTAGAAGGATTCTGGATCCTACAACTCAGTAATCTCAGATCCTACTGAATTCCAATTTGTACTGTGACATATTCTTCATAAACAAGCGCATTAATAGATGTATAAGATAATTCAAATCTATATCTTATTGACGGATCACAAGAATTTTATTTATAAGAGGTAGTAAGGCTAGTTCAGATCTACATTCATCATTTGAGCTATGACAGTGAACCCAAAGTATTTCCTTAATAAACTTAATATGAAATTTCTCACATTGTTCCTAATTTTTAATCTTTAATGTGGATTCTAGGCCTCATACTTCACACCAATATAAAAAAAATGGAGATATCAAAGAGCCTAATAATCTCTCTAACTTTTTACAAGAGTTGTTAAAACCAACATTTTTGTAAATTCCGAAATATGATTTTCTTGCCGTTTTTATTAATAGCGGACGATTTGATAGTTTCACAAGAATATACTAAATTTGTCGGAGCAATCTCGAACTAGTAATCAACAATCTTTACTGGATTGGCATTATCGTGCCGCATGATCAGTTTTTTTTTTTTCAAATATAGTGTTAATGAAAAAACATAAGGCTCGGAGCATCTATAAATTATAAATGACGGGCTCAAACCATAGAATAGACGAAGCAGTACTCTGCATAGGACGTAAAAGACATGCGAGTTCCTCCTTAAAATTATATTGGGGAATAGTGACTTGAAACCTACATAATAGTCTTGTTTGTCCCAAACGTCCAAAGATTGCCAATACGTATATATAGGATCAAAATCAGAAACATCCCACTCAATAGTTATAAGAAGATGTGGTATGAGTGCCAATGAGACAACTCTCCATCCAAGTCAAAATTTATAAAAGTAAACCATTATAGGTCAAAGTACGGTCTTCAACACGGAGCCTTGGCTCACACCGAACAGCAAGCTATAAAAGGCCCCAAAAATTACTAGTGTAAAACCATTCAAACGGGAAAACAACGGTCTAATCTATATAAAAAACGAGAAACGAGAAACACTTATGAACCACATTAACAAACGACAACTACTCAAACCTGTTTTCATTCTGTTCATGTCGGATACAATAGTAGCAGGTTGAAATAGAATTAGAAGACTCAGATTGGAGCATTCTTCTTCTAGTAATTACATTAATCACTAATAACAAGGTGTCTACACAACAATCAAACTGTTCTATATAACTCTGATTCCTTGTCCGGATTTAGTTTCACTGTTGGTTCTGTAATCAACTATTCAACGCTTGTATGAGATTTTGGATTTTCAAATATTTTGGCCTCGATCAACAATGAAGAGATATTAATTGTTGATATAACCATTGGTACCCGCGTTAATGTTTTTTTCTAGAATACTGTTTCTTCATGCTAAACACTTGCTCTTTGGGTGTGACAAACTATCATAGTACATCAAATAATTCTTATTTCAACAATGGAAATACCAACCATCGAACATGATTGAGTTTACATTAACAGCGCTATTGAAAGGGTGAACATATACTGATTTGAACTACTTTGCAACTCAGTAAGGTCAACTATAAAAACCTGTAAAACATATAAACAGTAGGGACTGAATGGTACTACAGCAACTCGTTTTATTCCTACTCATTAAGTGGCTTAGAACCAAACCAAGATCTTAGGTCATATAGACGACAAAAATTACCATGCACAATATGCGAGAAAGCACGAAAAACAAAATACCACACAGAAATAACATTGGAATGTCAACAATATAATTCAATATTCTAGGCAAAAGTGAAAACACATATAGACTTGTCCATCTAGTTTCAAACCGAACTATTCTTCAACAAAATATAGTACATGATTATACCAAATGGTGATGACAGTAAGCATTCAACTTTAAACATATCAACCAATCCATTATTGGCGGACAGTACATCTAGAATCTATCCCGTTAATACCAAGATCAAGAATTAAACCCCCGTCATTTGAATCGGCATTATTGAACGCAGATATATACCGATCATGACATCATCACCAAAACCATCTCAACCAAGCCAGCAACCAAGAAATAATTAAGAATATTAAACATAACTTCGAAAGTTTACAGGGGCGGGTCCAGGTAAGGGCGTAATGGGCGTACGCCCCCCCTTTTCAAAAAAAAAAAAAAAAAAAAAAAAAAAAAAACTATCGTTATCTGCTTATATTGTAATTTATCATATTCATTAATTAAACACATACTCTGATTTCTTTTTATACTGATTCCCCCATCCGATAGGTGACTTGGACACCTTTTTAAACAACCAAAGCGGTTAAGTAAATCTATACATGAAATGGTTGTTTTGTGTGACACTTCCCCAATGGCCATTCTACATCTACCCGGGGGATACTCGCTATATATATGATACCGGGTATGTTCCGACAAACGGGGTTGCATTTTCAGCTAAATTGTCTGAAATGGGATTAGGTTTTTTTCGCCTTGCATTGGAAGGGGTCAGATTTGACTATCTAGAACGGGGTATCATAAATATAAATACAATGTTACACTATTGTTTCAGATAAGGGTGAATGTTTGGTACCATTAAAACGTTTAAACCCGCTGCAACTGTTTGCACCTGTCCTAAGTCAGGAATCTGATGTTCAGTAGTTGTCGTTTGTTGATGTGGTTCATAAGTGTTTCTCGTTTCTTATATAGATTAGACCGTTGGTTTTCCCGTTTGAATGGTTTTACACTAGTAATTTTTGGGGCCCTTTATAGCTTGCTGTTCGGTGTGAGCCAAGGCTCCGTGTTGAAGACCGTACTTTGACCTATAATGGTTTACTTTTATAAATTGTGACTTGGATGGAGAGTTGTCTCATTGGCACTCATACCACATCTTTTTATATCTACTAAATTGAAAACAACGTTCAAACCTATGATTGCGTTGGATAAAAACCGCAATTTTTATACGTGTGCATGCAAAACAAATTTCTTGGTAAAGGGGTCTAAATACAGCACAAACAACATTTTCCAAAAGACCAAAACAGTGAAAAGGTATATTTTAACAAAACGGGTATATCAAAAGTTCAGAAAAAGCTATCGTTAAAGATTTATTTTTCATTTTTCATGCCCATTTCATATAACCTTTAAACTGAATTTACAACTTCTTCCAAAGATTTGATATCCACATGTTAATCAATACATAATTTGAATGATCTGAAGGCAGACTATTTTCACCAATTTGTCTATCATGGAGTCTGTTATAATACTTCATAATTTGATGCTAAACTGTTGAAATCCAGGAGCTTCTGACGTTCCCCATGGACCCTGTTCCAGGGCAACCGGAATTACGCCTCCCGTTCATAAAATCCTGGCCTAGGACTATCGAGATGTAAAGTAACGCCCTATACCCTAGAATTTGGAATTTCTCGTTATTGGTCTACTGCTGTTAAGATCCATCCAATCATTTTAATATACCATAGACAACTAATGGAGAGAATTCGGCATAAAAAATATCCAACCCTGACACTTTAACTATAAAATATACATGCTCCAAGTCAGGAACCGTTACATTAGTGCATTTCAATTTATTTTATGTTTTTTAGCCAAAAAAAGGTCCAAAAAACTTTTCGCCTCGCTCCGCTCGGCAAAAGATTGTATCCTACGCCCCCTCTTTCAAATATCCTGGAAACGCCCCTGGTTTAAGAAAAAGGAAAAAAAACGATTGAAGCAGCAGAGCCAGAAATAATTTTATGCTCAGATACATGGTTAGATCCAAACGTCGAACTGAGTGAGAAGCTTCCAGATTTCTTCCACTATATATAAGTCATGAAACGTAGACATCACTTAAAAGACCACCAAGGAGTAATAATAGCAGCTAAACAATCACTCTAGCTGGGGAACATCACTAAAAGCATGTAGATATATAAAACTTTTCACTTGATAAATAAGCATAGAATGAAAAAAGAAAAAGCTTATAAGTGCAATCTATTGGCTCCAGATAAAACAGACGACATTTACCTGATCAAAATGAAGAATGAAATAAATGCCATCAGAACGAAATATTAAAAAGGTGTATTCTCAATTGTAGGCGATCTCAACCTACCAGACCTTAAATGGTCAGAAAAAAATCACCACTAATAGACAATATCCACCAGGACCAACCCATCTTTCCTAGATATTGTAACCGACAATGGACTAG